TACTACTATAGTATAATATATAGTGTTTCTGTAGTTGTTTTTTGAACACACTATAGAACACTCCTATAGTAATAGTATGATATTATCATAATGAATGCATATTATTACTATAGTGTTTGTAAAAGCATTACACTCCTAGAATTAATGTGTCATTTTTTTATATCAAATTAATTGATATTTCAGGCATTTATCAAACCTGGCAACTCTGGGCTTCCTGGCAGCTGTCAATCAAAGTCCAGTGGCTCCGCCCCAAAGTGTGAGAAACTTTTCACGTGCGCCGTACAGACTCCGCGAGCGAGTGAGGCTGACACTCCCGCGAGGGCTGTCTGCACGCGAGGGTCATTTCATGCGCGTGTAAAAGCACATTTTCCGCTCGTGAGTAGCTTGTTTTGCGCGCTAGAATATTGACCCAAATCTGACTCCATAAAAGCACGGCTCAGCCCTCACACACATTAACTTTCAATGGTAACGAACCCAGATTGTAACTGGTCAATTAATTCCACAATATTATAATAGAGGCAAAATGAACTACAATTATTGTGGGCCTTTTATGCAGGATTTACAACCCTTACAAAACCTTGATCCCATTCAAAGAAAGTCTGAAGGGAGAGGCTTTTGATGTGGACTGAACTTCAACAATTCTCCCCTAAGTGTAGGTGTGAAGGCCATAATAACCATCTTTTCACGATGATGTGTGTGAAGAAAAATAAATGTGGAGTTTTTAAATGGCTGACCTTGATGTTAAAGTTTCCAGGGTTATTCTCTGTTTTCTAATGCTTTCTCTAACACATCTTTGAAAAGTCGTTTTCACCACACTCTCAGCTTCGTTTCGTTTTCTCAGGAGAAACTTCAAAGCATTCATATGGAACTCTTTTACACAGATTGACTGAGTCTCACCGAAAAGCCATCCGGGTGATCCAGAGAATGCGTTATTTTGTAGCCAAGAGAAACTTCCAGGTACGTGAGACACCATTTTACAGCTTTTTCTCACAGGCTGATTTTTCAGTGTTCACATTTGAGGTATCCAACTTACATGACATTGATTTATTATTAAGGGGTTGTATAGGAGGTACAGTTATTATTTAGCATCTGACTTGACAAGCAAACACACACTCTGCAGTAGAGGTTGGGGAGTACCAAAAATAATGTTTGCCGCAGGGGAACGTACACTTGTGCCTACAGGTGGATAGAGGTTGATAACAGCCAGAGTTGGAGTAGTCTTAGTTTGCAAATGAAAAGTGAGCAGAGCTTTGACAGCTTAAATGGATTGCCTCTTTCCAAACAATTTGCTGCAGCAAGTACTCTACTAAAACCTGCTCCCAGGGTTTGTTCATTTTCTATCAGTCTACATAGAAGAATGATATATGAGGAAAATACAATGTACATTTGATATATATAAAGGGGTTATACCTAACAAGACGTTTATAATGAAGACAAATCTTTGATGTAAAAGTTCCAAACCTTTTTTCCCCATTTGTAGCAAGCTCGTAAGCCCTATGATGTGCGGGACGTGATCGAGCAATACTCCCAGGGTCACCTCAACCTCATGGTGCGAATTAAGGAGCTGCAAAGAAGGTACAGTGCTTGATGAATAACAGCTTCATACAGTATGACTAATATACCCTGAGAAATGCTACCCAGTAGATGATGGTGTTTTTGAGACAGAAAATGTAAGACAATCCGGAAGCCTGCTTACTTTCAGAAAGTAAAATCAGCTCTGCTCCCAGTAGACAACAATATCATATGTGGAATGATTTGAATTCCATGTTCATTTTGACACTTCATGTTAGGTAAATGGTAAATTGACTGCACTTATACAGCACTTTATCAGGTCTTTATAACCCCTCAAAGCGCTTTACATACTACATGTCACTCACCCATTCACACCTCATTCATTCCCTCACAGCCACAGACGCCCCGTGTAGATTTGGTTTTTAAACGGTTTACTTATTAATTATACTTTTATTCTTCTCCTTGTTGATGTACTGTCCCATTGCTGGTGTACAGCTTTAAATGTCCGCATTGTATGATTAATAGAGGATTATCTTATTTTCTAAAAAAGAACTATCTAAAACACAAGTGAGGGATGGTGGAGAAAATACAAAGGGAAAGTGTATACAACTCTCTTTCATTTCCTGTTGTTTCTCTCAGACTGGACCAGTCTATAGGGAAGATAACTTTGTTCCAGTCGGGCTCCGGTAATGAATTACTCCACTGCTCTCAGAACATATTTGACAGTAAATATGGAACAAACCACAGTCCTAATCCCCCTGTATTTTTATTTACTTCCCTCTGAAGACCGAGACAAAGACAAAGGCACCAACTCAATCGGAGTCCGACTCAACAGGATGGAGGACAAGGTGGGGTTTGTTCAAAATCTGTCAAAAGCTTTTCCAATATTACTCTGAAGTGTAATGTTTCAGAGTGTTATTTTACCATTTTATATTTTTAGCCTTTATGAAAATAAATATAAACATGCTTAACATTAACATTAAAAAGACACTTGAAATTGGGTAATGCAGCAAAGGTTTACTTTGCTTTGTAATATAAAATAACATTGCATAGACATGTTATTGTGGATTCAAGTGAAAAACTTGAACAGCTTGTGCCAGCAAGCAGCAAACAATGAGAAACCTTGATGTTGTTTTCCTTTCAATTATTTTTTAAGATGTGTCAAAACAAAGAAAATCACTCATTTTGACAACCTCCCTTTAACTTGTTTTCCAAATACTCCTGACATACCTGCCTCTAAACCATGTGAAATCAAATCAAATGATTTAGTCACAAAATGAATTTAGTAAATAACAAGGTTTTTTTTGTTTACTAATACAACTTAAGTGGTTGTGAATTTGAGGTTTTCCATGTTCGCTGTTAAAGGCTGAGATGTATTATTATGACTTTAATTTAATGTGTGTTATTAACTACTTTATTTTGCTTTCACCAAATATAGTTTTGTTTAATGAGCCTTGCACAATGCAGCAATTAATGAATGTGGCACAGGTCAATACTATGATGGCTTTGTCACACAATGGAATTAAAATATATCTCTACATCATAACATTTAAATAACTCTCAGCCAGAGCATTTTGTTTACTTTTATCAACATCTATTTCATCTTTTGTAGATATCGCACATGGACCAAACGCTAAACCGCATTGCAGAGTCCCTCACCTTCCTGCTGGCCCAGAGGGACCCGGGTGACTGTGAGGGTGGAGGTGTAGGGGGAGGCGGGGTGACAGTAAGGCGAGGAAGGACCTGTAATGTCCTCCCGAGTCAGGACAGCCTGCCAAGCTATGACCAGCTGTCTTCATCACCTTCCCCCCTCTCCTCCAACACTAAAGCCGGCCCCCACCATGCCAGTCGGGAGGAGAACTGCTGATACCAGGACGTTTTTATCTTTTTAAAACAATTTATAAAATGTATTCAGATCAAACTAAGTTATCTATTCATCTATTTATCTGTTTGTCAGCTGCCCAAAATGTTGATAAAAGTATCCTTTATGACTTGATTTAGACTTATTGACATTTGATTTACTATACCTTTCTTTTAGAAAAACATAGGATATATTATATAAGTATAAATCATTTATGTGAAAACAGCTTTTAACATTTGTGGTAACTATGAGTTTTTTTTAATCGTTTGTTTGAATAGGGACAATGCATATTGATGAACATTTAAAAACAAATAATGTTTTAAAACGTAAACAGGCTGGATTTAAGCTTTGAGCTAATTTCCATAAACTAAGTTTAACTGCAGTAACTAAACTTTAGAATATTAATGCCTTAACTCTAACTGCACTTATTGCACTCCCTACAACAGAGATGCTGACAACTGGAGCACTTATGCAATAAATGCATATTGATGGAGAATCTGTAGGAAGCATGAAAAGATAGTGGTATCCAAAGTTTTGTTGTTTCTGGTTATGGTCGGAAATGTGTTGGCCAATCATGTTAGAGCGGCTTTTAGTTTAATGAAAGTAAACAGTTTGTGTGTAGAACAGAGAGAAGGAATGCAAATGTTGACTAATCATAAATTGTTTGTCAATGATTTTGCTTTTTGTTAGCTTAAAATGTGCTTGTAAATGTACTTCTATTGACTTAGAATGCGTTTCAGACAAATAATAAGCCAAGCACGGAAAAGGAAGTCTTGACCTACTTGTTGATAAACACCTCAGCTTAGCCATAATGCAAAGCGGTAACATTCAGCAAAAAACGTAACTTTATAGAGCAAACTGCTGTTTATTGACACTGAATGTAATGTACTGGAAGCCACTCCCACTTTGACCTTGTGGCCCCGCCCACCCCCAACTCTCAGGTCCAAGATTTGACCCAGTATCACCTTGTCATATTACTCTGCCTTTATCTTTATATCTAGCAGCTTTGCTGAATGCTGGCACAATGATAGTAACAATTAATTCAATCCATTATTTACATCTCAAAAATGATTTTCAACATGTTGTATTTAAGCATTAGTTTCCTATCTTTTCTTTAAGAAATTATTTCCTTGTAGGATTTTTTTTTTTTTTTTTTTTCATATAGCTTAACATTTATTCAGGTTACAGCAGTGTTGTAGTCAAGTCACCAATTCACGAGTCCAAGTCACTCTTGAGTCCCCACTTTTCGAGTCCAAGTACGAGTCACCTAGGGAGAGTCGGAGTCGAGTTCGAGTCCAAGTCTGAGTCACCGAAGGAGTGTCCGAGTCGAGTCCGAGTCATCATTACCTGTGTTCGAGTCCAAGTCTGAGTCACCGAAGGAGTGTCCGAGTCGAGTCCGAGTCATCATTACCAGTGTTCGAGTCCAAGTCCGAGTCACCCAAGGAGTGTCCGAGTCGAGTCCGAGTCATCATTACCTGTGTTCGAGTCCAATTCCGAGTCACCCAAGAACAGTCAAGTCTGAGTCACAAGTCTTTATGTATTAATCTTAGTGGATACATTCGTTGAAATGTAGCTGCTCCTCTACATTGCTTTTATCCTGCCATGTTATACTAACTACTAAGTTTGGCTACAATTCTTGAATAAAAAATGCTGTACAAATATAAAGCCTATTATTATTATTATTATTATTATTTGTATTATTGTAAATGACCTTTAATATGTCTAACTATATTTAAAATGAGTTGCCTTTTAGAGAAGTGATTATATTTGTATGCCAATATTTTCCTATGGTAAAGTTTTCGTTTTGCACTTTTGTTTTAATAGTAATAAGATCTGGACTTATTTTGAAGGAACTTTTACCGGAAGTCAATGGACAACATGTATAACGACGATAACGACTGATAGATGACGAATAAATTAACATATACTAAATAGTTGCATTTTAGCACCTGGCTGATAAGGGCATAAGTTCTTGTTGGTAATGAGTGTATAAAAGCAAGGGTGTTGGGGACGCTACAATTATTATAGTGAATGTTTAAATTCTATCAATAAAGATTAAGCCCCAGAAAGCACATCAAGCAGGGGCGGACTGGCCATTGGGAATACCCGGTGGGCCGGTACCGAAGTGGGCCGGTCGGACAATTCACTAGCCCTCCCCGTTGATAATTGACTAGCGGTACCGAGTTGGGCCGGTCGGCCGGTCGAGTTTCCTGGGCTGATTTTTAGTCCCAGTCCGCCCCTGTGTTCAAGACAACCTATGTCTGAACTGAGTAATGTGTTATGGAGCCTTCTCTTCAATCTTTTGTACAGCCGGGACAGAGTACGTCTGACTCCAGACAAAACTTGCTTGAATCCGAGTCCAAGTCGGAGCATCAATCAATGTACAAGTCGAGTCTGAGTCATCGTGGGTGAAAAATTCAAGAGTCCGAGTCAGAGTAATTGTGGGCGAGAATTCACGAGTCCGAATCAAGTCCGCGTCAATCAGTGCGCGAGTCCGAGTCGAGTCACGAGTCCCGAAAATCGGCACTTGAGTCCGACTCAAGCCCGAGTCCAGGACTCGGGTACTCCATCTCTTGGTTACAGTAATGCCAAACACTTGCCCCTGCTACAGCATCGTGTAGGCCTACTATAATTCAATATGCTGTATTCTTGTGGAATAAAATACGATATAAATCATATCTTAGGAACAACAGTTTGCCCCTGCATGAGAGGTCGGCCCAGACCCTGGTTCTTAAATCCTCACTGAAGACTCACTTCTTCTCTCTGGCCTTCTAGTCAGAGCTGAGTACGACTCCTGACATTTCCCTTTGTTTTGTTTTTATATTTGCTGTTGTAAATTATTGTCTTCTGTTGCTATTGTAGTAAAGTGTTTTTATTACATGTACAGCACTTTGGCACGACCAAAAATCGTTTTTAAATGTGCTCCATAAAAAAAACCTGATTTGATTTGAACAACGCCTTACATTTCAAACCTTGACTTTCAATGTAATCAGATGTTGTTTTCACATTTGTAATATTTAGAAATATTCTTCTGTAGCAATAAAAGATTGTAGTTATTATTAACAAGTGTCTTTGTGTTGTGTATGGTGCCTTCAGGCAAGGAATATCTGACTAAAACAAATGAGCTAAATATTTCAGTTACCAGGGAGCGTTTGTCTTTCTGCCAGAGGTAGTTTGATACGAGCAAAAAGTAATTTTTCATATTAAAAAGTGAAGGTTTTTGCAGTTTCTCTTCTCCTCAGTCATCTATCAAACTGATTCAAGGTACTGTCTCCCTAAAATCAGTGTATCTCTTATAGTGGCAGGCAGCAGAATTTATTTTATTGTTTTGATGTGGGGGTGGCTTTGTCTCCGCTGATTTATGGAGATAGCTAACACCATGCCCTTTGCACGGGTGACCTTTGGGCAGCAGATGGTGACCTTTTCCTCGCTGGCCATCCATGGGGTGTCCAGGAATTCCTTTACACAAGTTGCCATGAGGAGAAAAAGCCCAAGTGACCATCTGCCTCTGGTGTCCGCAACAATGGACCCCACCCTCCTAAAGTGTGCTGAGGGTGGATGGCCTTTGTGCTACTCAGGAGGTGAGGGAGGGCAGAGATTCACTACAGGGAGGGTGTAGAGGTTTTAAAAGAACCACAACAAAGACCGCATCAGTCAACAACAGTCATAAACACAAACAAATGTAAATGCTCAATTCATGAAAACAACAACAGAGCTTTGCTCTGGCTAAATAACTTTAGTTAATATTTCCAACCAAGGCTTACTCTGGATACTGACTTGCAACTTGCTGAATCACAAGGTACAAAGCTTAAAATGTAGCAACATACTAAATTATTTTTAGAGTTATTTTCACTTTACGTTTTAAAACTGTGTATTTCTTAAAACGCTGAGTGCTAATTTATCAACTTGAGGAAATGTAAAAAAAAAAAGCTCACTGTTGGAGTTGCAAAAACTTAATAATTTTTCTCATTTAGCTTCTCATTTAGGGAAATTAGTACAATAGCTTAGGTTTTATATCAGTGTTTGAACCTATACAGAGTACAGGTTTAAAACATTCAGCAATATGACTGCATTAATTGACACAAACCCTGCACTAGGGAAAGCTTCATTAACTGATAATGTACTAGCAGCTTGTAATGTGCATCTTTTAATGAATCTAATGAAGGAGTTGGGCGGAGAGATTGGGATCCCATGAGGTACTTTGCACCCAAGGGATGTTTACATTATTGATTTCTTGACTGGTTACATGAATCCAGTGGTGCATTAAGTAAGATTATCTGTTCCTATAATGCAGAAATAACACACTTAACATTGACTGTCCTTGGCATTAAGGCATTTAAAAATGTAAATTATGTTTATTTTATGCTTGCTTCATGCAGGAGGATACACAAGTAAACATGAGCCAAAGTCAGAATAAACATTAGTGGCATTGGTTTGGGCACATGTCAGTGATAATAGGTGATGACTATGAAAAGAGATGGAGTGAAAAGAGGGGAGTTGAGGGGAGACCTCGGGGGGTCAGGGAGCTCTAAGGGCTGATTTGCAGGTGAAATGGACGGCACACTCTGCTTTGTGGCCATTGTTCTGCTCTGCGGCCAGATGGCCTCTCCTCTTTCTTTAGAGCTGAAACCCCAACACTGTGGGAGGGAATACGCCTCTGTGGGATTTGGCCTCTTTAATGGGCTAATTTGGCAGTTACAGCTCACATTAACGGATATAATTTCAAGCCTGACAGCACAGTCCTTATAATTTTGTGATTATGAAACATCTCATAATACAGCCCAGAAAATGCAATTACACCAAAAGGTTTTTTTCTTCCTTTGATTGCCAAACTTGCAACATGAATTGATTTTTCTATGGCTTTAGAGGCATACTTATTATAAGCTTACTCAACCGTGGCTGCCATGAAGTCAGCATAAAACCAAAGATGTACTTTCTCATAAGACTGCAGTCAAATTGAAAAACAAATCATTTGAAATTCAGTTCACAAATCTATAAAATTATTGAACTCCAGGGTCTTTTTTTTTTTTTTTACCATAGTGAGTTA